AAACAGCATTAAAACTTTTCCGAAAATTATTGTCTCCCTAAAGTACCCTTATCATGCAATTCTGTCTAGTTTTACCTATCCGTTACTCTCTCTCCCTCCCCCTAAGTATACATCTTATGAATTATCGGACTAATTTGGTTCGGTTTTTTTGGATTCATTACAAAAGCGACTCTTCTTATATATATATATATATATATATATATATATATATATATATGAGATAAGATCATTTGATCACCGGTGTCAAATTTCAAATTTGACACCTCATCTGAGAGCCGGGAGATAAAAAAAGATCAATGGTGCCACATGCTTACAAATCATATTCTCAAACAGCTTGAGATAAGTTTATCTCTGGCTAACCAAAAACTACGTCGTTTTATTTATTTATTTCCTTATATTAATTGATTCATCTTTAAATGGTTATTATTTCCTTTTTCTCTCTCTTTCTTCATCACCATTGATCTATCTTTGTACGGTTAAGATTTAGTAGCCGGAGATAAAAATTATAACAAGCAGCTTGAGAAACGATAAGTACTATATATATATATATATATATATATATATATTTAAGACTCAAATTTGAAATCACTAATTAAGGAAAACAAATTTTATATGAGTTAAATCAATGGTTGTTTTGCTATTTATAATTTAATAACACCTTTTTTAACTGTGGTAACTGAAACCTGAGCGTTCATAAGCATTGTGACAATTCATCTCACTGTCAAGCTTGAAAAGTACATTCTACCACCTGACATTCTTTGGTAGCTTTTATGAAACTTCCTATTAATCATTGTGCATGTCCTGAAGGCTGAAGCCACACTATTCAACAGCTGCCCTTGTCGCTCAATACCGATAATTATTTCAGAGTTGAACTTGTATTCCAATCTCAGCATGCATGGTTACAATGAGAATCCAATGTTGAAAGTTGAAACCCAACTTTCTGAATTATATAGATATACCTGAATTAACTATAGTTACATTATACAAACTAATTTTATCTTTTGATTCGCATAATTTTTTTCCAGTGTCCTTCATATAAAAATAGATATTAAGTCACAAGTCATTCGCGCACGCGCACAAAATTAATGAATAAATTTTGCCTGATCTCGTGCTGTGTGACGTACATAGTTATACTTCTTTCATTTTAAAATATTAGTCGCTCTAAAAATTGTTTTTATTAATTTATATTTAAAATTTAAAAAGTATTATATATATATATGATTAGATTATTATACATTAATATAAATTATACTTTTAATTTTGTTCGTTGATATTATTTAGATCTAATGGATTTGATTTATTAGACATACGAACTGATAGATGCAAGCAACTCAATTATCAAAATTTGGTATAAAATTTCTTATTCTTACACTGATATATATATTTAGAGAGTGGTAGGATCCTTTGACACCAAATCTTAACTGTTGATTTCGTAAATCTAACGATTACAATTTATTGGGTCACAGATAATAATTAATTATTAATTTTTAATAAATTTTAATCATTAGATTGATGAAAATCAACAGTTAAAATTTGATGTCAAAAGATCATGTCTCATATATATATATATAGAGGGTTTAATGAGTATAATGTTGCATGATGTAAGAAAATTTTTCTACACTCGTAATAAAAAGGAGAGAGAAAATAAAATGATAAAAGAGAAAAAAAATATATGGACCCCACCTTCATATATATATATATATATATATATATATATATAAGGAGGGATATTCTTACTACCAAAATTTTTTACTGCCAACTCACTACCTATCTAATCATCATTGGATCAACATTTTCTCTTTTTTCAAAAACTTTTTAATATTTTCTCTCTTTGATTCAATGGTGATTAAAGAAGTAGTAAGTTAGTAGTAAGAATATCCTCTCTCTGTATTTATATCACTTTACCTTTTTCTGGCAGTACCAGTATGTTTATTAAATGAAATAAATATTAATATTTAAGTATTGCCATTGATCTTTTCACGTAATAACAGTAGCATATGCTATGTACAAGAAAATGGACATGTCAGTTGAGGAGCCAAGTGCCCAGAAAGGGAATAAAAAAAGAGATAAAAAAGCTGACTAGAGTCAGAAACTTTCATGTCAGAACCTTGTGAAAAGCAGGGCAATTTATATTGATTCCTTGAGTCTCGCGGTTGGAAGGGAAAGATATATATATATATATTCTTTAAAAAAAAAAAAAAAAAAAACATGCATACAATAGTTTACACATTATAAGGCTACTCCCCCCACCCCCACCCCTAAACTATTATTTGTAGTAGTGGAATTGGCTTGAGCATTTATGTCACCATATGAACTGCTAGTAGGAGTACTATTTGCCCTTGACTTTTTTCTTCTCCGTTAACAGAAAACCGATATTTTTCTATTTCTGTGGTTCATACTTTAATATCCTTTTCCTTGAATATCTTTTGCACATTAAATAAACAGTCGAGTCAAAGTCCACAAATGAAGGAGAGATAAACACGAGAAGAAAAAAAAAGTACGTGGTAGTTAATGCAAAACGCGAAGTGCGTTGGTGTGAATGTGAAATAAAACAAACGGAAAGAACCCTTAAAACGGCACCGACACTGTGTTGGAGCGATGGTGGCCGAATCCCTCTCGTAATTGCATGGCGAATTGACGTTGATAAAGTTTGCGCGTCCTATATTATGTCACGCCTGTGATTCGCTCATGGATCTTACAGCGTTCATGAATCTCTTGTTGCGTTCACATTTCAATGAATTTTTACTTTATAGCTAAACACCCAATCAAAAAAATGAACGATATACCCTTATAAAAACTTAATTTACTTTCTATGTTATTGATTTAAAAGGTTTGTTTACGAGTCAACCACAAAAATAACTCAACCTTTTAGATTTTGTAACTATATGATTATTAGTGTAGCATTAAATAGGGATCTCCATTAGGGTCGACACGAACATATCCATATTCAACATGAATGTAAAATCGAGTTAAAATCTTCGATGCGAACACGATCCGCTTAATTTGCAAATTGATACGATATGACACAAATAATTTGTAAAATCATAATGTATCGCTTATTATACGGGTTGACACGACATAACACAACACGAATAATCTGTCAATGCCAAACTATGTTACTTACGGGTTGACAAGACACGATAAGCCACAAATAACTTGTTTATGATACCACACAACACGGATAACTTGTAAAAAAATTAAGGTGGGTCAATTTTGGCTTTGCGGTTTATCACGCTACACGACACAAATTTTTTCATGTCAATTTTTGTCAACATGAACAAGGCAAAAATTTGAAAATGGATTCGTTTCATATTCATGTTATGTTAGCGGGTCGTGTTGAGAATTTTCGCCACAAAATTAATCTAAACCTTAATAGTAATATCTGAGTTATATAGGAGACGGGGATTTTACAATTCCCTTCCCTTAAACATGCATCTATATTTAATTAGTTGGAAATTGCCTCTTCACAATATTAGGATTTTTTTTGTAATATTTTTTTTTTCTTTCTGTAATCCTTTTTTTTTATTCCAAAGAAATTAACATATAAATTGATGATTAGTTTCATCAAAGTAAATTTTAAATTAAGGAATGCAATTGTTTCATGTGTTAAAACTTTTCCCAGTCCTCAAGTTATATTGAAAATATATATCATAGCCATTTGATTTTTGACACGTACTTACTTTCTGAATTTTAACATCCAACTCAACCACGTATTTTACATGGAAGAAATAAATAATATTAATTCCCACTTCTTCCTTTTTTTCCCCTCAATTCTTCCTCTTCCTTTTTTTTTTTTGAAGGGAGATATCCCTCGTTTTGGCGAATTCCCCCCCCCCCCCCCCCCAGTAATCTCATAGTAGTATAGTACGGTAGTGTATCGCCTACTAAAATAAAATAATGAATAAATATTCTTTTCGGTCCTCAGCAAAATTTATGATGTCCGTTTTAGTTCCTGGTAAATAAAAAGGTTATTCGCGGTCCCTAAGAAATTCAAAATGAACCCATTTAGTTGAAATCGTGGTCCCTCACAAATTCAGAAAAGACCCGTATTAGTCCCTCAAAAGAACTAAAATAGGTCCACTTTGAATTTTTTAGGGACCACAGATAGCCTTTTTATTTGTTTGGAACTAAATCGAATATCGTAAAATTTTCTGAAGATCAAAAAGAATATTTACTCTAAAATAAATATTTATCTAATTATATTTACCCCACCTACTTGTTTCTGAATGTCAAATAATGTTATTATTTTTAATTTTAATAAGGGAGCGTGAGTGCTAAAAATTTACTTTACTCCCATAGACTATGAGACTACAACAAAGTTTTCCCCTTAGGTTAGGGGGCATTTAATAGGTGAAAAAAAAAATTTATACGAAAATCACGATTTTTAAGAATATGATTGGAAAAAGTTTGAGAATGTAATCAAAAAATTATTTGGTAATCTAACATATTTCCGAAAATATTGGATTAATTTTCTTGTTACTATGTTTGGTTGTATTAAAAATTTTCTTGTCATAGAAATCCTAGAATACCACCTCGTGGGTGATATTGTTGGATGGTATTTTCAAAAAAATTTACACACAAAATAAAATTCCGAAAAAATTAAATTCCTGAATTTTTTTTAAAAATCTCATACCAAACGTGGGTAAATAAGACTACCAACTTCAATTTCTCAGAAATCCTAAAAAAACTTTGTACCAAACAGCCCCTTAAGGATGTACATTCCGAGGATTTTTTATTTTTTATTTTTTACTTCTTTTTCTCTTTGGGCGTTGAATTTTGGGGTCAACCACAAACTTCTGATTTTTTTTCCCTTTGTTTTTATTTATCCCCTAAATTAGACTCAATCTGTGGGCTTAGGCCCAATTCATAAACGAGGCCTTTTATTCGTATTGGTGGATTCTCATACAAAAATAAACTCCAGCACTTTTGGTAAGCCCGTGTGTGTTGAGAGAGTCTACTAGAAACAGAGCAGAGATATAAATACGCAATCTCTTGGACCAAACCGAAGCAAGATTATTTTTATGATCCTATCTAAATTTTTTTGTGAAGGGCATCGTCCTCTACATGTTCTAATCAGCATCAAACACAGCAAAAAAATTACATGTCAAGTTATTACTCCTGCAAACTCCCTAGAAGTAATTGCGTTATTTATCCGTAATTGCTGATAGGAAAAGGCCATACGTTTTGGAGACATGAAGTACTTGCTTTTTCTGCTTACCTATCTGAAAAAATTTGGCCTAGCTGCATCACCTTAGCCTAACAAGTAACAACAACGTGCTGTCCAAATAAAAATAAGGATAGGAGGTTAGTCATATCAAGAAATACACGCCAGGACATTGCAGAATAAAGTGCCTGTACCTTTATTTGTGTCCTATTATATGTATAGGTGACATGTACTCGCCCATCACTAGCTTGGATAACAGCAGGATATGAGAATTCCATTCCCAAGGTATCCTCCAATGTAAGTGCCTCATGCCAGGAATCACCATCATCCTCTGAGAGGGCAAGTTTAAGCACACCCCTTGAAATTGTATTATAAGCAAGCAATAGACGGCCATCTCTCAGCTTAACTTCATCAATACCTAATATAACAAGATATTTCTGAGGTAAGCCACTAATGCATGAGGAAATGAAATGCATGTGTAGCACATAACAAGCAAGAAAAACTTAGTTAACAACTTCAAAAGTAAAGCAATTCAAGATCAACTTTGTTCTTGCCTTCCAATATAATACGGTCATGATAACTGCCTGGATATAATGCAAGGAACATAAATAGTTTGGAAAATTAACCTGAGTTTGGGTTGGGGAGCTGTGTAGGCTTTGCATACCCCCAAGTTTTGCCACCATCAAAGGATTCTGACACATAAACTCTACCAAGGCCAGTAAAAGATCGAAGCAAAACACGCAGTGTCCCCTTTGCAGTTTGGTATGGTACTGGTTGAATTACACCAAGAGGCTTATTCTCAATGTGAATTGGGCCATACTTTCTCCATGTCTTGCCAAAATCTGTTGTAACCTGTTCCCATGCAACAAGCTATAGAACTTAAACCAGCTGAACAAGGTTATTTGCATGATTAAGATCAGTTCTAATAGAAACCTCTGCCCATGATCCCCAGGAGTTCCAGCTTTCAACAGAAGATCCACAAAGTAAGTCACCATTTTTCAGCAAGAGAGCCTGAAAAACAGTAAGTGAATTCAGTACATAGAACATAAATTTTTCCTGACTATGAATTACAAACACCAAGCTAAAGACAAAATACCATTCAGTGGCTTTTGTTTCACCTTATTCTTTATAGGTCCTAATATACCAGGAGGAAGTTGTTCTCTTTCTGTCCAGGTAATTCCTTTATCATATGAGCGTTTCATGAATCCACTCCATCTGAAATTAAATAAGCTAGTTCTTCTCATACGTTTCAAATTAAGTAGAGTCCTACACATTGGAGTGCGATGACTACCATGGCTGATTAAGATAAACAACTTAGTTCAATACAGAAGGCCTCTTTGAAACATTTCAATTTTAGAAGGCACGGCTAAAACTCTTTGGGATATTATATAAAATGAATCCTGAACTTGTTTCATCACATTTTAAACAATTATTTGCTATAAAACATAGATTTCAGTATAATGATATTTCCTGTTTCTTGATTACAAATCATTATGTCTTTAAATAATGGAAAAATAAGCATTTCCTAAAGATATTTGTGCCATGTCTATTACTCAAAAATTAATGCCAATTGAAGGTTACCTATATTTTACTAAGGAGGGATATTGAGTACCTAAACATGGATCTCAGTTAATGGATTATCACATTTGGGAATGTAGATACTCCATATTGTATGATGCTATGTCTAGCTGAAAACTACTTAATATTATTACATGGATTTCACTTAGGGTATTACAATGCGCTTTTCTTCTAACTTTCATTGTTGAACCGGCAACCTTCACAGTCATAACCATAAGAATGTATAAAAGTACTCATGGAAATTACAATCAAAATGACATAGTTGGAGATCATATTCCATGTGTTATCTCTAAAAATGAATCTAGAAGTACAATACGTTAGGTAGATTTGGAGAATAATGAAACAGTTGAGAAATGGTCCTATAATTGCATACAATAATGCATACACTTAAACAGAATCTTTTGGCATTTTACCATAGACCTGAGACAGACCACTTTCCCTTTTACAAGGAAGAGTATTTTAAGGAAATTGAGGACCACCTCTCATTGTGCAGGACATAGGTGCAACAGGGAGCACCAAAATTTTGAGAAAAAAGAAAAAGAAGAAAAAATAGCACAATTGACATGGTAAGTACGCTAGTTTGATTAGGAACAGGTTTCGTGGTGAGTGAAGCAATTATTCCCCCAAGTTATTTTTCTATCGAAGATCAAGATGGGGTGATGTAATGATAATTGTTTCCCTCCTTTCAATTGTCATGTTACTCCTTAGGAATAATTAGGTTCATATTGATCCCCAATTGCTTTATTCCAAAAGAATTTTATCTCCTATACACATAAAAGTGGGTGAGACTTATATTTTCTTTTTCTCTGTCTTCTCTCCACATGTGGGCCTCCATACTTTTATGTGTGTATAGGAGATAATTTTATCTCCTACAATATAAGAAACATCAAATTTTGCTTTTTCTACAGTCAATGTAGATAAGTAATGTAGATAACTTATCTACATTGAGCTTAAAACGACGTCGTTTTAAGGCAGAAATCAATGTATTTTTATAATTAAACTTATTTCAGGGTTATAATAGTCTTTTTTATTATAATTTTTTAATTTTTCAACTCAAAACGACATCGTTTTGGGAGCGAATGTAAATAAATTATCTACATTCACTGTAGAAACATTAAATCCATATATATAAGGGGAAATACTTTCTCCTGTTGCTGGAGAAAGTAATCTCCTGCTGTCCATACATCAAAAAACATGTCACTTTTAAAAAAAAAAAAAGGTTTATGTTTTTATATATATATATATATATATATATATATATATATATATATATATGGGCAGGTTATATTTACAAACTTTTTTGTTTACAAACTACACTATATTCTCCCGGGAGAATACAAACTTTTACAAACTACACTATGTTCTCCCGGGAGAATACAATGTAAATTGTAAAAAAATTCAAAAAAGTTTGTAAACGGATCCTGTCCCATATATATATATGTATATATATATATATGCAAGCTATATACAAAAGAAGATAGTAAGGTTCGAAACTTTACTTTTGAACATCTAGGCCTATTCTGTAGAACATCAGTAACACATTTGATGGTAGTTTGAACATTGCAGGGTTCCACATAGGAACATTTGGTTCTTCATCAACAATTACAGGTGATTGCCATCTGCTATTCTGCAAACCAAATTCACATTCACAAAGTAAAACGAACAGTCAAAACTTTAGAGCTAAGTAACAGTCCCTCCCTCAAAAGTTTCAAACTCCAAAGATAGGAACAGGAAACAATTATGATACAAGGATGATTACTGACTTGAAATCAAATTATTCACACTTCGCATGTTAGCCACTTGTGAAATTTATGTACTTCCCATGCTACATTTTTTTATTTCTGTAAATAAACAAAAGAAGTAAATAAAATTATTAATTTCAGTTCTACAGGGAGATGCATTTCCATTGATGACAACCGATTAGATCCTCCTACTCCTAGTATGTCAATAAATGTGCTTTGCAAGAGCAATCTACATGTCACACCTGCACTTTAGGCAGACGAAGAAAGAAAACTAGACCAGGAAAATTTGCAAAAAGCATGCGGTTTAGGATTCAAATTAGACATCAAAATTACTATGACTGCGTAAGTATGCCCAATCTCCCGTGAATAAAAAGACAGGTGGCAAATTGGCAATATAGCATTGTATTTAACTATATATATGGTAGATTTAACTATTTATATCTACCTTGTAAGTCTGCAACCATATTTTGACATCAGGTGCCCCCTCCGATGTGCCCCCATAATAGGCAACCAAAAAGTGATCCTTCCCAACCTGATGAAATCAAAATATATAATAACCTAGTGTACTTGATAACAAAAACCCAATATTTACTTTGAAAAAAAAAAGGTGACAAACCAAAAACTTCTTTGTAATTTACGACCTCAACAATGGTAGAAGCATGGCAACTATTGAAGGGAGCTGACTTTGCAGGAAAAGTGAATTCCTCCACAACAGACCCTTTTATGTAGCCGTTGTTGTTATTGCCTAAACTACCTGCTACTGAGCTTGTGGAGTTTCCCCTGCAGAAGTTTGCAACTTCATTTTAGATCATTACTAGAAGATTGAAAAACTCAGACTCCCACAGAGTTTATTGACTTCCCATTTGAGCAAAATGCATCAACATAAAAAGAATTATATACTTAAACCAAAGAAGGTAAAATATTGATCCCTGGGGAATAAATATATGAAATAGATAAAGCAAACAGTGCACAGACACTGTGAAAGAGGTAAGGCGCATCCATACCAAGAAAATGAGTAAGCTCTATGAATGATAATAGAGATTAAGAACACCAAATGGACAAAGGAAGAGAACTGAGACATTGTTCCACACTTCCACTTCCACTGTGCACTCTGCAACGCAAACTATGTACGACATGGGACTCATTTGTTGTGTTGAGTTAGGGAGTTGACTGAATATCAACCCTCGAATTGTTCAAATGTCATCATCTGCCGTTCATTTAAATCAATGTCCCCACGACGTTGTTTCATGGTACTATGTGCTGTCAAGTTATATTTGCATACTACTTATCATCAAGGTTGGGTTAATACAATTAAAATAAGAAAATTCGTTAATCTTCAACCCTATTTTTTATCATCGAAAAAGTACCATTTTTTATGCTTACTAACTAATTACATTTTTTCTTGTTTGTACAAACGTTGGAAGAGATTTCCACACTTTCTCGTGCGTGTATTTTAAATATAAATAAAAAAATAAACACGATATCCTATCCTATTATCATTTATCCCTTATAATTATAATAACTTTGAGATTAAATATAATTAATAATTTAAGAATTTTAAAAAAATAGAAAAAATAAGATAATCTGATGCGTCTTAAGAAATGAGAGAATATCATAAAAAATTATCTCACTTTAAAAAATTAAAATTTTATTTATTTTATTATACAAGAGTAGATGAGTAACCATCATATTTAGTTTTAATAATGTGAAAATAGATAACTTTGAAAAATGAGGACAAGACTAGCCAAGTTTTAAACTACTTTTTGACATAGGGAAGATATTGGAGAAATATTAAACTACATATCCACGTAAAATGAGAAACAGAATAATCATACAAACTTGAACCGGACGAAGGTCGGTTTTGGGGGTCAAATTTTACCCATAAGCTACCAAGATAGGCTAAAATAAGAAGTAACTATCTATTATTCAAGGTATTTTAGGTATTTTAAAATTTAAGTAAAATTTTGAAATACATAAATTTAAAAAATATTTGAAAGAAAATTATTTAAAATTACAAAAGAGATATATAAAATTAATATTTAATTCAAATATAATCTTAAAAATATATATTAAAAAAGTAATTAATAATTAATTTATATACAACACCTACTCATTTTAAATTTGAAAACACTCCCACTAAAAAATAAGAAATTGAAATTTGAAAACAGATAAAAAAAGAAGAAGGAATAAACAATAAAGAATCTGAACATTATATTTGAAAATAATTAAGTTGAGAGTACTAATAAAAACAAAAATAATAATAATAAAACAGAAGAAAAGAGAAGTGTTCATCAATAAAAGTCACATATCTAATAATAATTAAACAATAAAATATTATCATAATTTCAAAAATAAAATCTCTATTTCATATTACAGAGAATGGATTCTTCATACCTAAATAGAGCCCTTGTGAGAGCGTAGGTAAATTCCAATCATAACTTGTTCGGTTGATTTTGTTTCAGTAGCAGTATGGTGTAGCAAATCTGTAACGAAGTTGGCCTTCTCTGTATGATTTTGAATTTTGGACCTGCTGAAAGTTATGCACTATTCGCAAAGTCTTTTCAGCATTTTTTGCGATTATTTTCTTCTTTTGGCTAAAATCTTTTGCCAGTTCTTTTTTTCTTTTTTTTAATTAGCAAATATATCTACAACTTAGGCAGAGAGTCAATTTCAAACTATAAAACTGTCGAAAATAAATTTTACAGTTGCAACTATTTCCATGTCTATTGCTATCTCTGTATCATCACTTTGTTACCGAATATACAAATTGGAAATTAGGAGTTTGTAATAAACCAAGAGTATCCATGCCTAGTAGTTGCTCATGTGCTTACAACTAACTACTGATGATAGAAAAGGCCATATGATTAGAGACATATAGGATTAGTTGTTTCTGCTTATTTATAACAATTTACTCCACATCACTTTGGCCGAAGAACTACGTGCTGCCAAAATAAAAAAAGAGGGTGGGGGGTTGATATTATCAGGAATTGTATGAAAGGAATTGCAGATTAAATCATTAAAAGAAATTCAACTATTTTCAAAATATAACTGAAACCTACAATTTAAAGGCAACTACCATAAAAAAAAATCTAAGTTCGTACCTTAATTTGTGTCCTATTATATGTATAGGTAATATGAATTCGCCCATCACTAGCCTGGATAACAGCAGGATACGAGAATTCCATTCCCAATGTACCCTCCAATTTGAGAGCCTCGGACCAGGAATCACCATCATCCTCAGAGAGTGCAACTTTAAGCATACTCCTTGATGTAGTATTATAAGCAAGCAATAAACGGCCATCTCTAAGCTTAACCCCATCAATACCTAGTTAATGAAATCAGAGAGATACGCCATTAGTACATGAAATAGTTAAGGCAAAGAATAAAAAAGATATAGTTAGGGTGCAGTAAAGAACTTCAAAATTAAACTAATCCATGATCAACTTAGTTCTTACAGTTCAGTTAAATACACTTGTCATAATTATGCAGCAAAAACTGCAAGTAATATGGTTTGCAAAAATTGACCTGAATTTGGGTTAGGGAGCTGAGTAGGTTTTGCATATCCCCAAGTCTTGCCACCATCAGATGATTCTGACATACATACTCTACCAATGCCATCAGAGGATCGTAGTAAAACACGTAATTTCCCATCTGCAGTCTGATAAGGAACTGGTTGAATCACACTCAGAGGTTCATTTTCAACATAAATTGGGCCATACTTGCTCCATGACCTGCCAAAATCTGTTGTGACCTATCGCACACAAGAAGCAATAAATGTAAGCAAGCTAATATTTCAACACATCTCTGAAACAACCAATCAACTGGGATGAGTTCAGTTAAAACCTCCACCCAGGCGCCCCAGGAGTTCCAGCTTTCAACAGATGATCCACAAAGTAAATGATCGTTTTCTAGCAAAATGGGCTGAGAAATAGTAATCAAATTCAGAACTAGCAAAGAATAAATTTTATATAGCTATAAATTCCAAACCTCTTGCTAAAGATAAAATAAAATGAAAGATTCTGTAGTACCTTATTCTTAATAGGTCCTAATATACCAGGAGGAAGTTGTTCTCTCCCTGTCCAAGTAATGCCTTTATCATATGAGCGTTTGATGAATCCACTCCATCTGAAATTAAACAAACCCATTCTGCTCATATGGCAAGTAGGCAGATAATAAACTTAAAATTACCTTAAGTCTTATATATAAGAGAGGAGGGGTGTATTATGACTTACTGAGATAAAAAACTTCATTATAAAAGTCCCCATTCAAAAATTTCAATCTAATGGCAGCATTGCAACTCACACTCAGGGTCAGGGGTCCATTTACAATGATTTATAAATTAAAGTTAATACATCTTTCCAATATATTAGTCATCCTGGAAGTATTTCCATATAAAGTCACAAGTTTTTCTCTTACCAGTAAGAAATAATTTTATTTATACTGACGAACTTTCTTGCTGAAACTTTTTTGTTCCTAGTATTCAAAGAATATATCATTCTAACTGTTGGAAATCGACAATCGCACAGCACACAAATCGACAAGGGAGAGAGAAAATTGACACGGTGATTTACCCTGGTTCACTTAATGTAGGCTATGTCCAGCTTATCTGTACTATATTGATATTCACTTCACCGCCACTCGTTACAAGTCACTCGGTTTACAAGGGAATATAAATAGGATTTAGAAAACCCTAACAACAACTATTCATGGGCCCAAGCCCAAACTACTAAGAAAAAGAAAAAATTACAATAAGTCAAAGACCCATAACAATACCAGGCCTACTTACTTGGATGTGAAGTATGAGTCATACCCAACACTAACTGCCTACTTACCTAGATTATACTAAGGAGAAGTAACAAGATTAAAGCATGGATTGACATTAACATAGTAACACATTAGAAAATGCTGATGATGTTCTATACAGCATAATTTTATCTGGAGTCAAAGTCAATACCATTAATGAATTTCACTAGGGATAATAAAATGCTCTGTTATATCATAATAAACTGATTCATAATTTACAAATACATGTGTTTTCATGAATCTGCAATGAATAGGGTGTGTTTCGAAAAGCTTTAAAAAAAAGCACAGATATCACATTTTTCAAAAGTTATTCTTTCTGTCTTTGAAGAAAAACATAAACTGTTCTTATTTGAAACTGATGATATCATGAAATTCTTTAAACATGTTTTTTGGATTAAAAAAGAGTTTCTCTTTAAAAAAATATAAACAAACAGGGCCACAATAGTTGGAAGAAAAAGGTTCACTAAAAAGAGTTACAATGGAAATCCCAAATATGCATTTAGGTCTACAATGACATGTAGGATAGTGAAATTGGAGGCAAAAAGTTTCATAATTGTATGCTAAAGTGGATAGGGGAAACCTAGCTATCTCAACCTATGAAATATGGAATCGGACACAGACACATACACAGATAATTGCCAACATATAGGACACGGCTATATAAACAACTTGAACAAACACCACCCGTGTCATAAAAAACTACAACATCTCACATCCATTTTCTTCTATGCTTAAACACAAGAACTTCAACCCCAGAGTTTCCAATCAAGACTCAATCCCGCAAGTGTCAACACTCTCGTGTCCAGACACAGCACCACTTGAGCACCATGGTAGAAGCCATCCTCCTAAACATACAAGACTCCATAAAACTAGCAACCGAGAAACCAAAAAATGCTAATTTTTTGAAAAAATTTGTTAAGACCAATGTCCTTCAGGTATACAGACATATATGTGTCTGAGATGACCAAAAATAATTTTTTAATAGGACACATGATAAACAGTGTCCAACACATGTCGCAGAGGTGTTGGAAGCATGTTCAACACTCCAACACCTCAATAAGGAGAAGTGTCCGTGCTTCATAGGTCTCAACTACCATATATGAAAGCATTGCAGCAATGATAGCTTGCACAGGAGAAAAATAGATGTAAAAAGACAAAAAGTTAATAAACTTTACTTCTGAACTTCTTGGCCTATCTTGTAGAACAGAAGTAGCACATCTGATGGAAGTTTGAACAGTACAGGGTTCCACATAGGAACATTTGGTTCTTCATCAGCAATTACAGGTGATTGCCACCTGCCATTCTATCCACCAAATTTGTGTTCAGAAAGTTAAAGGAGCATTCAAAATTTAAAGTTCAGTATTCCTCTCCTACAGATGTCGAAGGTACGAAGACAGACATAAGTTATGACTGATTAGAAATCAAAATTTGTCTCCACATTTTTTAGGCACATTGTAAAATTATTTAATAACTACATTACCACGTGCTTGTATGAATTGATTTCAGCTGCACTGTACAGTAAAAAATATTTCAATAGTTGACCAGCAAGACAAAACCTAAACTCCCTATGTCATGCTGATTTTGATAGGCAAAGCAGTCAACTAGTGTCACAACGTAAAAAAGAGAAAGAAAGAAAAGAAAACTATGCTGGGATAACCCTGGCAGTAGAATATACCAAAAGCACGAGAGTTAAGTGACAAATTTGTTAGATATAATATAATATAAATCTGTCAGAGATATAATAAAAACATTCATTGGCCTCCACCAAACAGCTTAAATTTTTGGGAGAGTTAACGTGGAGTTTATAAGGCCTTGGGCACTCTTACCCTTTGAACTAGCTTTTGGAGTGGTGTATCCCAAGGTTCTTTACATGGTATCAGAGCTTGAGTGACTACAAGGTCACAAGTTCGATCTTCACCGCCCCCCACTTTAAAGTGGAATTAAAATAAAAAGCACAAAAAGGTAAACCAAAAATTAGGCCTGTGCAATTCCACGCTTCTAGCCCAAAGGGCTCTTGCGTGAGGAGGCGTGTTGAGATATATAGTCCCACATTGGTTGTATGTGCAACTAATGTGGAGTTTATAAGGCCTTGGACACTCCCACCCTTTGAACTAGCTTTTGGAGTAGTGTATCCCAAGTTTCTTTACAGGTTGCATGACAAAATTAGACACCAAAATTAGTTTAACTGTTTGAGAATGCCCACTTTCCTATGAATTGAAAGACATGAGGGTACAGCGGTATTTATTTACTTTGTAAGTCTGCAACCATATTTTGACATCAGGTGCCCCCTCATAAGTGCCTCCAAAATAGGCAACCAAAAAATGATCCTTATCAACCTGCAGAAATAAAACTACATAAGTATTGACTTCATATACCAATAAAAAAACCATAATATCTCTTTTCATGGGCAAATAATTTTTTGTGCTCCATGACCTCAACAATGGTAGAAGCATGACAACTCTTGAAGGGAGCTGATCCTGCATGAAAAGTGAACTCCTCGACTATTGGTCCCTCCAATGGACAATTGTTCCTCATGCCTAAACGTTGAACTTCAGAAGTTTCTGTGTTTTTGTGCTGCTGGAAACAATCTCCTGCAAAATTTTGCTTCTAGTTTTAGGTCATACTCGTTTGGAAAATCGAAATGTAAAAAAATAGATAGTCGAAATGGAGTGAGTAGAATAGAAATGTTTTGATTTGCACTAATTGTCGCTTGATAGAGTCCAAAATCACTTTTCAATTCAATTTCCTACTAATCAAAATTGCGGAGTGAAGTGTAAATGAGTCACACTCACACTCCACTTCACATTCAACATTCTTACATGCATGTTGTACTGACTAATCTTGAATGACATTCATCTCAAAATTTTTGAAGTTCCCATTTTCTACCTAGTCAAATAAAAATAGGCTTTTCAGGTTTTAATGAACAACTAGAAGATTAGACGAAGTTTGATTTTCCAAAAACTAAAATGAGGTTTTACAGTGTCAGAATGCATCAACTTAAAAAATCATATAATAAATAGAAGTAGAGAAAAGAAAACGGAGAATGAAGTGACGGAAAGAGGAAAATAAAATAAAATGAAAAAGACAACGAGTGTAATGGATTTGCAATGTGGAGAGCAAAAAGAGTGTCAATGTATCTGATCGACACTGAATTCACGAACCAGATGATAGTTCTTCGCCCCTTCAGATAGATCCGATGATCTCGGTTGCCGTTTCGAACACAGAGAAACGCCATAGAAAGAATGTATAATGAGGATAAATACTTTGAATTAATTTTTTTTTTTTAAAAGAAGTTAGAAATAAAACCCTGTATTTTTTTTATAAAAGAAAAAAACTTAATTAGAAAATGTTTTAAAAGTATTTTTTTGAAAAAAAAATAATCTGAATATTTTTTGTATAAATTAAAAAATGTAAAGAAATAATAATTATAATAATAGTTTGGCTTAATTGCAAATGAAGTTAATTTGCAACTTTTGTTCCTTAATAATTTTTTCAATAATTTATTACTTTTTTTAATTTAAAAAAATCAATTCTCTCTATAAATTTGTCATCTAATTATTAATAGAAACTAGTGACATGGTCAATAATATGACATTATTGAGTAAAGTATTTTAATAGATTCACCGGTACCTTTAATTTATTTAAACATGTTTTATTAGTAACTAGTGAATATATCACTTTGGAAAGCATAACTAGTGAATTTAATTTATATAAATTATTAGAAAATCCGAATTTTGAGGAGGTTAAGGTTTAGTGTTTGGTGTAGTGAGGTTTTGAGAATTGGAGAGTGAAGGTGGTGATGGGTGGTAACATTTCAGAAGCAAAATGGTTGACAGTGAGCATAACCTTGATATTCGCTGCTATTTCCATCTCTGGTATGTTAATGTTCTATCAATTATAATTACCATAATCATTCATTCATTCGTCTCTTTCTCTTTTGTCTCCGTATCCCTCTTTTTTTGAATTTACCACCCGTCTTGCTGTTGAATTTGGCAGCATACATATTCAAGAGAAAATCGAATGCTTTGAACTCCAAAATTCATGAGCTTGAGGCATCTCTCAAGTCTTCATTGGACAAATGCGCCTCTGAGAGGCAAGGCCGAATTAGGGCTCAACAGGTAACCATGCTTCTCTCTCTCAACTCTAACCTCGTACCTCTGTTAGATAGATTTTAATTGGCTCATGTCTTATTGGTAATTGAATTCTTTTTGTTTTATTATTATTTATTTATTTTATCTTAACTTGGCTCTATGCTAATTTATGCATTCCTGGGTCTTCAATCGTCCGTTGTTGCATCAAGTGTTTGTGCTTTCATTTTATTTCTTTTTCTTCTTAATTCTTTGGCTGATTCATTTACTTAATGTATTTGTAGGCCTTGAGAAAAGAACTAACGCAACCTAAATCTGAAAATGTAAAGCTAACTTATTATCCCATGACCCCCATTGGTATCATCCAGTCATGCTTTTCTACCAGGTAAAATGTTTATTCATTAATTGTACATTTCCACTCCTTGTTAAACCCCAACTAGCGAGGGTAGGGGTAGGGGCAAGGGCAACTTTCGCGGATTTTTTGGTCCACGGCTCATCCTCTTTAATTGTACATTTCAAATTTGATAATTAAAGGCCAGCTTGTGGGAGGTGGATAAATTTTTAATCTTCGAGAATTGTCAATTCAAGCAATTTATTTATTTATTTATTTATTCATTTATTTGTTTGTGTGACAATCATAATCTCCCTTTTCTTACTTTAGATTCAGAAGGTGGTTATGGACAACCCCACTAATAATAGTTATCAATTTATTTTTTTATTTTTCTTTTTTGGGGGTTTCGTAGTAGTACTCAGTTCATGTTCAGGTACATCTTTAGGTAGATAATTCCTATTGGATTCCTCCTCTGTTTAGTCCTTAGGTAAACTGCACATCCAGTTGTGCACATCTTGCCTTTTTCTTTATGAAATTCTTTGCTTAGTACCCCATTCATGATTCATGAACCATTGCTTCACATTAGTACAGGAACGGGACGCCAAGGCAACCATTACTTGTACCACTTGCCAGAGCATGTTTGGTTTTTAATACAACTCGTGTTCCGCCAGCATCTCTTGAGGGTCTAGCGGAATATTCTCATATTTGGGTTCTATATGTATTTCATTTAAATACAGATCTTGAGAAGCTATGGAAGCAACCATCTAACTCAAAGTTCAAGGCAAAGGTGTGTGGCTCTAGTGTTCATTAATATCTAATCAATGTGGCATCTTCTTGCCTCATTTTTTATTTCCTTTAAATCTTTTCATACGGATCAGTGGTTGGGTAGGTGAGGGTTCCAAGACTGAAAGGTGGAAGAATGGGAGTTTTTGCCACACGATCCCCACATCGTCCATGCCCCATTGGACTTACAGTTGCAAAGGTAAGGACACTTGTTGGCCTGTGGGGTGTTTCTGGCATGCTCTCACAAATAACAATATTTTGTACCATTCTCTTGATTGATATCACTCTGGACTAAATCATATTATTCAATTTTGGAGACCAGCTAACCACAAGGACTGTAATTTCTCATAAAACATGACTATATCATTTATTCTCCATAGATTGTTATATATTTCCTCTTAGCATTGCTGGATTGTTGCAAGCCTATGACAAATTTATTCATAAGATAAAATTTGGTATTTCAGAAGCTTGTTACGAGAGATAGATTGCATTTTATTTTATTTTAAGTAAAGATAGATTGCATTTATGTGGTGAAAGAAGTGATTCAATTTTTTTTATTAAATATTTTCAGTTTCAGCGCTTATGATGGTTATATGCATTAAATGAACTCCCCCCTCCAAAAAAAAACAAAGTTCGGATTCAATATGTAGGAATGTTGAGAAATATAAATTATAATTAGGGTTAAATTCAATTTCCCATCATATGATGTGGTGTGTTATCAAGAAACTATTGAATACTTTTAATCGTCCCTTTTTTTGGAAAACGCACATGATCGGCATATCCAACATAAAACTACTACGTTTTGAGGCACTTCAATGGCTAACAACATCGCTGATTTGTGTAAACTTGTGACTATCTCATGTCATTTCACTTAAAAATGGATGGAAAAAGTATGGGATAGTTACATGTTGTAAATAATAATTATTTAGTTATTATTTAGTTATTTATTTGTTGTATTGGGCCAAGCCCATTAGGTCAAAATTAGGTCAAGTATTCTCTATAAATAGAGACCCCTTTATACAGATTATTTACAATTAATAATATATCAGAATACCCTTTTTCAAGTTGGTATCAGAGCTCTCGATCCTGAGGGCTCTGCTTCCGCGCCTACGAAACCTTTTATTCTTCTTTTTCGTCCATCGCTGCCATCAGCCGCCACCGGAAATTTTTTTCCGGGGACCTCTTGGACCGAGCAGATCACTATTATCACTGTTCTTCCTCCTTATCTTTATCTCTCGTACAGCAACCAACGAACGTCAAAGGTCAGAACCTGTTCATCACGTTTGGGCACTTTTCCGGTGGATTTTTCACTCCGACCAGCCACAGACTCAGCAGAGCTTGCTGGACGACGCCGCCCTGAAAAACCCAGCACCATCGGAGGTTAGACGCACCTCCACGCGCCGCCCTTGTCTCTGCGCGTGAATACCACGCGCCGCCAGCTTCACCGGCGCGTGACAGCGCGTTACGGTGGTTCTTGGCCGCGGACCACCACGGTTCTGATCGTCTCTCCAAGCCGGTTCTGGATCTGTGCTCTCCACTTTGATCGGACATTGTTTGTATGGCCTCTTCTCAAAGGAGTTCCTTTACAAAGTTTTCTGATGGTGCATCTTCTGGACCTAAGAGAGATGATCGATGGTGTTCTTATTGTAAAAGAACAGGTCATATCAAGGATCTATGCTTTCGCCTCCATGGAAAACAAACTGTCTTAGAAAAGATGGATAGGATGCATGGTCAACAGCATTTTACTTCCTCTAAAATAAATTCTACATTTCGTCCAGATGAGTTGGAACGGCTCCGAACCCTCCTTGATTCTTTGAGTAAGCCATCTGATACTAGTACTTTGACTATGACTGGTATGAGCTCCAAAACTTATTCTTTCATTTCTTCATGTAATGATTTTAAACATTCTTGGGTTGTTGATTCTGGTGCTACTGATCATATGCTTGTTGTGCTGACTCTTTTACTTCTTATCATCCTACCATTGGAACTCATACAATAGCCGTAGCTGATGGCTCTCATACATCAGTTGCGGGTTCTGGTGACATAAACTTACAGCAGTCCTTACATCTTAAGGATGTTCTTCATGTTCCTAAACTCTCCACGAATCTTCTTTCTATTCATAAAATTACAAAAGATTTGAATTGTACTGTAACCTTCTATCCTACCCATTGTGTTTTTTAGGATCTTGCCACGGGGAAGACGATTGGTAGTGCTAAAGAGCAAGGTGGGCTGTACTATCTGGTGTCACAATCTCCCGCAAATAAAGTAACAGATCACATCTTGATGTCTCATGGTCAATCAACTGCTGATTCTTTGATTTGGCTTCATCATAAGCGCTTAGGTCATCCTCCATTTAGTTTACTCAACCAATGTATTGTAACTCCACTCCCCTCCTCAAAAAAGAAAAAGAAAAAAGAAGAGTATTTTGTATAACACCTATTCAGAGTCTCATTAATGAATTATATTTTCTCATGTTCTCTTGGTTTGCTTTTCCATCCAATCCCTAGAATTTCAACTTTATAATCTGCAAAGAAATAAAAATTAAATGATGTTCCTAGTTTCATAACTTTCTTTTGATCTATCCATGTTCTGTAGGTAGAGGCTGTAGAGGGAAATATGATTTTACTCTCTGGTGTGGACCTGGTTGATGGAACTGTAAGTCTCCGTTTTCTGCTACTGATGCTAACTTTACTTGAATTATGTGCCACTTCGGTTATTGTTTATTTGCTTTAAATATGAATTTGATGCTTTTCATGAATCTGCAATCATGATGCTTTAATGAGGAATCATGCCTATTTTCTGAATCTCATGAACAGCCAGTGCTTGATGTCAAGCCTTATTTACCATATTGTGACAGCATCCCAGAAGCTGCAGTGCCAAATTGGTTGATGGTAATGATCCATTAGAGTCAGCAATGCAATATGTCTGAATAGTACTATACTTTTCTGCCACATCTCTTTATAGAAGTTTAGTAAATGATTATCTCATTCTATGAAAAAAAATTGAATTTTTTCAGGAGGATAACTTACTTTCAGTAGCTTCCGTTAGTTTTTCGGAGGACTTCACTTCAACACTCAAAAGTTGCTGGATGATGGCAGTGAGTTGTTAACGACTTACTTTAAATATTGAGCACGTGCATCATGTACAACAAAGTCTTTTCTTTTAACCCGACAAATTCACAACATTAGCGAAGCATGCCCTTAACTGTTTAATTTGGATAACAGTTAAAGGTATGGATTACATTAAGAAGAAATGGTAAATTAAGTAACTCAATTGAATAAATTAGAAAATCAAGGACTAAAATGAACATTGCCTGAAAATATAGGGAGGGACTAAAAACTTAATTAAGACTTGATTAATCACTTGTTTGAAACTCTGGTTGGAATCTGGAAGAGATGCACGCCATTGGTCTTGATCATATAATTAAACCTTCATGGCTTCAACTGCTTTCCAGGGTACATATTTTAAATTAAAGAGGTAGGGCTATGATAGTTTCTCTTTTGTAAATAAAAGTTTAAATTAGGGGAAGGTACACCTCCATGCAAGGTGAGCAAAGACCACCGACCTCATTGATCGTCATACTTCCTTTATGTCTTAGCTTTTGATTAATCTTACTTTTTGTTTAACCTTAACCCTAATTGTTTAGTGCAGATTTTACTGGCTTATATTTCAGTTGGTGGCATATTATTTTAAATTATTGTTTTAGCTCCTTAACTAGCCTTGCAAGTATTTCATGCTACTTGTGATGTTTTCTAGTTCAAGATTATTTCCAACCTTTTTCTTCTAAACTCAAGTATGTTACAATTTGATGGTAAACTTTTTTTTTTTTTTTTCATTACCTTATATTGTAATATGAGTGAGAAGAAGACCAATAGAATCCCCAGTTACTAGAGTTGATCAGATGAGGGATAAATCATTAATTAGAGGTAGAGGAAGACCAAGAAAAACTCGGTGAAACTATTAAAAATGATTTAGATATAAATGGCCTCTCTAAAAAATTGGTTCTTTGCGGAACACAATGGCTTTGTTTGATCCATATAGATGACCTTACCTAGTGGGAAAGTGATTTGGTTGTTGTATATGGCAAAATGAGTTTGTTATTGAACACATGGTTTGTTATCTCTCTTTAGCTACAATTCTCAGTTTTCTTTTTCTTCCTCTTATACACATCATATGGGTGATTATTCTCCCTTACTGCTTCAGGGAAAGAAAACACTCTACGCATCACCTGTTGAGTTCCAAAGCTTGATAAAGCAGGTCCTTTCTTGGGATATTAGGTCATTGAGTCAACGAAATCGGCCTCGTGATGCTCTCTTGAAGAAAGAAAACGATGAACTATTGGGTAATACTTCTGATGTAGATGAGCACCAAGATGAAACAACTTTTGTCCATGAAAGAGAGCAGAATCCTCTAAATTCTAAGGAAGTAATTTATCACCTGATTTTGGAGGGACTCGATGTCTCCTATAGAATTGATCACGATGGTAATGTTAATGTAGAAAAGGTGTCAACTTCTGCTGTCTTGGACAATAAGCTTAATTCTTGCAATTACTTGACATGGAAAGACAAGCTGCAGTGATGTCTTTATTGTACCTGATAAATTTTTAAGCATAATTAATTTTAATTTTCTATTTCATAAATGCTCTTGCTCTTAGAAAAAAATCTATAAAAGGAGAATCGTAAGCTTAGAAGGGGTTTGGCTTGTTTTATGTTTTTATTATTGATATGTTTTCATTATAATTATGAAAATATCATCTTAGTTTTCATTTTTTGTATTTTGATGGAATACCAAATTCTCTTATGTGCGTTTGATAGGGGATACATATCATGATGATTTTCAAGAATATGGTGAGAAAGTGAATTTTTTGAAAATATTATTAAAAAGTTGTTTGATAATATCAATGGGAATATTGGTTCAAGGTTATCGAATTTATATTTAGTTGATTGGAAGGTGGAAGAATGGGAGTTTTTGCCACACGATCCCCACATCGTCCATGCCCCATTGGACTTACAGTTGCAAAGGTAAGGACACTTGTTGGCCTGTGGGGTGTTTCTGGCATGCTCTCACAAATAACAATATTTTGTACCATTCTCTTTTATTTTTGTATAAATATTTTGTACCATTCTCTTGATTGATATCACTCTGGACTAAATCATATTATTCAATTTTGGAGACCAGCTATCCACAAGGACCATAGTTTCTCATAAAACATTACTATATCATTTATTCTCCATAGATTGTTATATATTTCCTCTTAGCATTGCTGGATTGTTGCAAGCCTATGAAAATTTATTCATAAGATAAAATTTGGTATTTCAGAAGCTTGTTACGAGAGATAGATTGCATTTATGTGGTGAAAGAAGTGATTCGATATTTATTAAAACATTTAAATTTTATCCTTCAGCCAAACATTTTTTCTTGCTACTACCTAGGATTTTAGGCCCGACAGTACGCTGTTATTGGTTAAACATTGGCATTTGGATGCAAATATCTAAAATCAGCGTATGGGTTGCTTTTTCATTTGCTTAAAGGATAGAAGCGGGGAAACATAAAAGAAATTATCTGGAATTTGTATGCTGCTTGACTCTGCTTGCCAGATGGAGATTCAAGAAGAACAATGAGTTTGAATATCGTATTGAAATGTACATACGGCAATTTCAACAATTAAAAGAGCTCTTTTTTTTTAAAAAATTTCATGAAAAAAAAAAGGGCATCGTTACTGTGAGTAGGGGGTGATTATGAATTCTTATTAATCTCATAACGCAGCTACTATTCGAAACATCTTAGGTTACACAGATTGGTATGTAGTCTTATTAATCAGGTGTGCATGATGTATAACATTATAACATATGATTTTAAGTTGGCAAGTAGTACATGATTAATTATAAGCTATTTAATAACGAGGAAGGTTATACTTAACCTATTTCATTTACAATCTATTATAATCATATCTTAACTGTTGATTTTCATCAATCAACGATTATTAATTTCGCAAATCAAATTGATTAATTAATTATTAATTCAAAATGAATGATAACCGTTAATTCATGAAAATTAACGGTTAAAATATGATTGTAAGAAGTTATAAACGAAAATAATTTGTAAATATAACTTTCATCTTTAACCATGTATAATGATGAGACTGCAACCATAGATTTTCGCAGCAATTTAAAAAATTTCAAATCAAGTCTACAATGAATGATGATACTGTTTCAGATTTTACTATGATTTTTTTTATGTAGTATATGTGAAATAAACAAACACAAGGTTTGATAAAAAAAAATTTAAAAATTTGTATTTAATATTGGTTATTGAAATATTCTGAACAAAACATGTTTAAAGTTTACTAATCCTAATTAGAAGTCTTAATTTATAGAAAATTAACAAAAAAAATATGGGAAAAAAGAAAAGAAAATACAAAACAGGTCTAAACAGTCAATTTCGGGCTTGAAAATTACCTCAGTAAGGTTGTTTGGGTTATCATGACAACAGGCTCAGAAAGAACTTTCTATTTACATACTATCAGACTAAAAATTCCTTCCAGATCAAAAAATAAAAATAAAAGTGATCCATTAATGTTGGTCCCTTCGTCTAGACTTTTGGCAATCAACTACCCCAAGGTTCACATATTATGATATTTTTCGATGACAGAACTGCATTTAAAAAGAGAATTATGTGTGTAAGGACACTAATTGATTAATAAAAATTTGGTTTAGATATTTAAAAAGTTGCATAACAAACATGGCTTTGAAGTGAAAAACTATAATGATTTAAAAAAAGGAAAAAAATTGTCCTTTTAAGAGATGATTCTTTTAGTTAAAAATAGTATTTTTTTTATTTAAAATTTAAATTAAAAAAAACCCTTACTCTCTCCTCCCATGATTTTATGATCTATGTATTTTTTTCACTTAAAATAATATAACTGTATATCCTTTAAAATTATAAACATTAATCCTTTAAAAAAAAATTAGTATCATTACGTCAAGATTCTAGAAAGCCAACCAAAATGAGTAGCGCAAGTGAATGGGCATTGATCACCCATAGATGGGGACAAGACAGAGAGTAGTGGACGCGGGGTCAGGGCAACTGGCAATTGTTCTTTTAACTGACGATTCAAATGTTCAACATTTAAGACTTTGACAGAAGACAAGTATTGTACTTGGTTTGGCAGGTATATTCTCTAGTATGGATTTGCCTCGCCGAGAATGCATTTTACTAATTAATTATTATTTATTAAAAAAAATAAATAGCGTAAATTGTATCAGTTTTATTATTTATTATACATGTATATATATATATATATTTAGTATTATATTTTAGGTATTTTTAATTAACGGATATGATTTTATATTTTTTAAAGTACAGTCACTTAAAAAAATTTAATTTCTTCAAATATAGATTGAAATTCAATTGAAGTTTTATAGTATAGTATTTTAAATTTATTTCAACGAAAAAATTAATTATACTATCAGTTAAAATTTAATGAGTTGAATATGATATTTTTAAAATACTCAAGAATTTTTTTTAAGTATCAGTTTCATCGAGATGTCCATGAATTGGATTAGATTAATTTTAAATAAAATTTAATAAATTCGATTTAATTGATTTTTTTTATAACTTTGTCTAATTGGTTTGGTTTAAAGTGTAAATTTGATTCGATCAAGTCCAATCTAAATCCATTTGAATTGAATATGTTGTTTTATTTTATTATAATTTTTACAAAAAAAATAATTTCACCAAAATACATCTAAAATATAACTTTATACAAAATTATTAAAGTATATTAAATACATGTTCAAATAAATTTCTCAGAATATATTAAAAAGTAAATTTAAAAACATATGTCCAAATAAAAAAATTAAGTTACACTTGTGATATAATAAAAAGATGTTCTAAATAAATATAAATAAATCAAAATTTTAAGTAAAATATTTAAAAAAAATATTTATAAAATTGCGATTCAATTTCTTTTAAATAAGATTGGGTATAACATTTAGATTGGAATAAATAAATCCTCTCCCTTTATATTTATATTTTAAAATAATATAATCTTAATATATTATATTTTATATTTATCACTTAAATTTTGGTTAGATTAGTTGAGTTTTACAATACGAATGCTCTGTATTTATACTATCAGTCTGAATCCTCGTGGAGGGGGGCCTTTCAAATCCTATTCATCACAAACGGAATCAACCGCGTGGGCCATACCCATCGACACGGTGCCACCTCTCCCAAGCCAAGAAATCAGAATTTGTTCTATTTTTTTTTTTTTCCATAATCACCCTTGTGTTTTCAACCAAACTACCAGAGGCCCTTCGTGCCTTCACATTCTTTTGGTGGTGTTTGGTTTACGGTTTTTTAAGATTTTTCTATGCAAATGAAGTAAGCAATCTACTTTGCACTTGTTTGGTTCAACAGATTCACTCAGATTCCCCAGCCATGCTATTTGCATAGCATTTTCAATATTGTCTTCGAATGCTAGCTTTTTTCACTGTTTAGAAAGAGATGTTGGATATAGTTTTTTGTGGATAGCCGGGTAAATCACTTTTTGACAAAATATTCCAGACCATTATACCCTCTGAAAGCAACCAAATATATAAGGGTTCTCAACCAGAAAAGAAGCCAACTGATGCGACCATAAACTCCACATAACTGATGCCACCATCCTGGAGAAGGTCATCAATTTTCTCACTCAAGTTGTTTCTTGACACGTGGCAACTATGTAGTCCTTGCAGTCACAGAACAACTTTGAGAAGTCACTGTTACTAGACAGCACAAGTTCAACAATTGTAAATCCTAAACCAAGCTATACAATTAAGACCAACGCTTATGATCAGAAAGGCACAAAAAATGAATAACCAAATCAATGGAAAACAAAGATATTTTCGTAATTGTCACTTATTTCCCATCTATATTTTACCTTAAACCAAACTTAGACTTTATAAATCTTACTTAATTTGCTCGGTAAAATTTTTTCCAACCAAACAACTTTTTTTACATTTTTTTACCAAATTCACTTTCCAACCATTTTCCTTTCAATTATATTTTCTTAGTATTCAAAAAATTTCTCCTTAACCAAACGTCCCTTTTAGGATTTGCTGAAATCAATAGATCACGTATGGCATGGGCATGATAAGTAGGGGTGTTAACAAGTCGAGCCGAGTCGAGTCGAGTTTTGGTCTTAAAAGGTTAAGTCTGTGTTTAAATGTGCTAGCATGATCAAACCTGTTACTTGTTATACATACAATTATCGGGCCTGTGGCCTGGTTTATTTTCAAAAAATAAAAGCCTGACTTAGCCTGTTTAAAAAAAATAATATAACAAAAATTTATCCAAACAGAATATACAAGCAACAACACTAGTAATTTCATAAATATTCATAAATTTAATGTATATCCAGATAGCATAATATAGAATAAAATCATTCAAAAACTCTGTTTAACCAATAAAATGGGATGAAATGGATGAGGAGAAAGAGAGAGTCATTACAAGTAGTATAAAAAACATTAAATGAAACAATAATAATAATAATATACTAGGCCAGCCTAAGAGACTCTAAGGCCGAGCTTTTGAATTGGAGCCTGGTGACAACAATCAATTTTAGACATGTAAGCTCAGGTCTTCACGAGCCGAGCCAAAGACTCCCAGTTCATTTAGCACCCCTAATAACAAGTATGAACATGGCCCGTGTACGAATTTTCCTCAATTTAGTAACAAAAAATAAATTCAATCATTCTTAAGTTTTAACCTTCAACTACCCAATCGCTCACCATCTCCATTAATTAGAGGAAGAATACATTAAATTTGGGCCATCTCGTCATCCACCAAACTACTACTAACTAAAATTTCAAAATTTAGAAATTAATAATGATAATAATAAATGATTGTCTCTCCTCCGTGATTTCTTTTATCTTTCTTTGCATCTTGGGGGATAAAAAAAAACCAATTTCTTATGCTAGCAGTTAAATTAATAAATATAGCGCACAGCTATTTCTATCGGATAGGACAGTGAACAACACTCACGCTGAATTATGAGATATTCTAAAAGTTTAGAGTTTGGCTTCGACTAGAGGTTGGAAAAATATTATGGTGTAAACTCGAATGTGATTTCGTGAGCCTCGCTTAACATTAATTAATATGGTCATAAACGCTGATAATTTTAAAATTATATATTTTAATATTTTTTATCTCCCTTTTGTCATCATTATTGATTCACCTTTATATAGTTATGATTTCTGATATGATAATATATATTTTTGGTAAATATATGATAATATTAACTAATACATGAGATTATCTACTCTCAATTTTTAGTGTCCGTAATTCCAAAGCCAAAGTAAATATTTCCTATTCATTTATTTTTCCCCATACACGTGCTTGAAAAAGGGGGCCCATATTGTTGGTTGGGGGTTTAAACACCTACTTCGATGCACTCCCCACTCCGCAGTCCCCACGACGCATTTGCATGGGACAGAATGGATCCCCATTTTTAACACAGTTGCAGACATTTACACACCCGCACTTTTATTTTTATAGTTTACGGTATAGGTACAAGAAATGTACGTAAATCATATGGTGGTAGTTACGAGTTACTGTGTTTAAATGACTCGAGTTCAATAAATTAGTTTCAATACCTTTAATAAATAGAATTAGAGTTAAAAAATATTTTAACTCGGAACCATTTGGCATTGATTGACGCCGGCCGTTGCAAGAGGTTGCAGTATTTTATTAAGTTTTTTATTTTTATTTAAAATGTATTTTTTAAATAAACACTCGTATATTTTAAGTATTAATTAATTTTAACCTTTTAATACAAGTTAATTAAATAAATTATTTAAAAATAATATTTTTAAAATAAAATAAAAAATAGAAAAAGAAAGGGTGCAGACACATTTCATGGACTGTGTCCCAAATTGCTTTTTATTATCTTGATATTTGTTTAGTAGTTAATTTTGATTTTAATAAAAAATTATACTCTATTTCGGAAAAATATATTATAACAACTAATTAGAGTTATTATCAATTAATTTTACTGTTAGATCGATTATATTGATCGAACGGTTATATTTATTTTCATAAAAATCTTTGTATGATTATGATTTCCCATATTTAATACTTTATATTTATTTCTACCTTTGTATAGTTATGATTCCTCATATTTAATCACATTAAACATGGAGAATCATAACTATACAAATGTAGAAGTAAATATAACCGTTGGATCAACATAATCAATTTAACAGTGAAATTGATTGGTAGTAACATTGATAGTAACTCTAGTTGGTTGTTACAGTATCCTACCCCTTCATTATTTACTAAAATCTAACGGTCATAATCTATTGAGTCATATTTATTAATTAATTATTAATTCTCAATAAGTTGTAATAGTCAGATTGACGAAAATTAATGATTTGAATCTTTGTATTAATTTTTTAATTTAATACCAGTATCAAATGACCATGTCCTTAAAAAAGTAAATAATATTTTAAAAAGTAATTTAAATATTTATTTTTTTAAAATGAGTAGAGATTTTGATTTTTCAAAGTTGGAACCGTTACACGTTTCTTAATATTCATGAAAAAAATAAATAAAGTAATAAATTTAATGACAGGACAAATAGTTGAGGATTTACAGGAAGTAATAATAATGGAAGGCATTTTGTTGGTGCGGGGGTGATGAAGCAGCCTGTATCGTAAATAACGGTCATACGGAAGGGCATTTCCTTCAAAAAACACGATAAAAAGCGGTTCCACTTCCACGGGGGAATAACCTTTTGAAACTGAAATCACCCTCTCCAACTCCAAATTTCCCCATTGGACTCTCGTCTCTGCCAATGAAGTCCAAAAAATACTAGTCAGAGATACATACTCTTCGCTAAGACTCATTTTCATTGTTACTATTTATTATTAAATAAATAAAATAAATAAATTCCTCTTTTGATTTTATAACACTTGTCCAGCGGGGCCAGCAGTGGTAGCCTCGCCTTGCAGAAAAGAATCCAGTCCTAGAGAGAGAGAGAGAGAGAGAGAGAGAAAGAAGAGATAGAGAGAGAGAGATGGAAACGCCGTCGACGACGGGCGACACCCACAAGATAGCGATGAGGTCGTCGATTATGGAGTCGTTTCGCGGCTGCGGCCTCTCCGGGATTCGGATTGATAAGGAAGACTTGAAGAAGCAGCTCACCATGCCTCAGTACCTCCGCTTCGCAATGCGCGATTCCATACGCCTTCAGGACCCCGCCGCCGGCGAGACACGTTACCAGAACCGCAGCGACGGCGAAGACGCCACCCCTCCGCCCTCTCCCATGGTCGTCTTCATCAATCCCCGCAGCGGCGGCCGCCTCGGCCCCGTTCTTAAGGAGAGGCTCCAGCAACTCATGAGTGAAGAGCAGGTCTCCGTTTTCTCCTCTTCCTTTTCTTCGTTCATGAAATTTCTCATGCATGTTTACAATTTCTGTCACTTGCTCGCTTGAGCTCATGTTTTTCTTAATCAAACGTCACTAGACAGAGGAAATCGTGAAATTTTTGTTTGGATCTATTACGAGATATGCTGAAACATAAGAGACTGAATATGAGAAAGTAAGTTTTGTATTGAAGCATTCTGGTAGCGTAGGCTAGGAACTAGCCACTGCTGTTACGTTGAGAATCACTATCCTCTGTTATTTTTTTTTTCTTTCGATCTCGCACTTATATGAGATTCAAGTTACATCCATGAATTGCTGGATGTGGTTTTGTTGTTCAAATTTTCACTCCTATTCTCCTCTCTAAATTTTTTTCGTCTTTCCGTTCATTATTGATGTTTGGTTATACACCTCAGGTTTTTGACCTATCAGATGTGAAGCCTCATGAATTTGTACGGTATGGATTGGGTTGCCTGGAGATGTTGGCAGGTCTTGGTGATTCTTGTGCCAAAGAAACTCGTGAAAGAATCAGGGTTATGGTATGTTGATAGGTGCACTACAACATGTATTATATTTCAAATGGTAGACTGCACTATATAATTGCAAGTTGTTGTGATTCCTGTACCTCATATTATCTATAATTATATGCCAAAGTATGATTGACATGTGAATGGTTATGTAGTTATCACTTTCTTTTTTAAATAAAAAAATGTGATTGCGTGTCAAGATGTTGCTCAGCCACAATGGCAATAAAGTGTACTGAATTTACATATTAGATATTATATTATTACTATAGTAGCAGTCATATTGGATGAATGAAACTGGTTGATTGGACAGGTTGCTGGAGGTGATGGTACAGTTGGCTGGGTATTAGGATGTCTTACAGAACTTCGCACACAAGGTCGACAGCCAGTTCCTCCGGTAGGAATCATACCACTTGGGACAGGAAATGACCTGTCTAGGAGTTTCCGTTGGGTAAGCATTCATATGTTTGGGAATTGTGGGTTAAGTGAATGTTGGGTCTACTATGCTAATCTGTCTTTCTGATATTTATCAGGGGGGTTCATTTCCTTTTGCATGGAAGGCGGCTATTAAGAGAAGTCTACTCAGGGCTAGTACTGGGCCAATTCATCGTTTGGATAGGTATGCCTTATCTTTTAAATTGACACTTTGAAGTGTGCTATTGTAAACTTCTTTAAGTGGTTTTCTGCAAATTAGAATTTTTATAATATTTATCAGAGCCTAATGCTTGGAGGCATTTGCCTGCAGGGTTTATGTTGTGGCATAGCTATGAGGCATTGATTTGCTCCTATTTATCGAGTTCTACCTCATGTTTAATATGATCCTCTTGTTATGTTATGGATATTTGTTATTGAATCAACCAGAGTCCTGTGTTAACAAAATTTGGTTATTACAGACTGAAAAATACCCAGAGGTTATTTGTATTTCTCACAAACACCCCACTGCCCCCTAACCGCCTACATCACCATTCAATATTTCTTGGCCCACTATTGGACAAACCACCTGGGTACTAGGTCAATGTGAGTCGGATCGCTTAGCGTGAGCATAACTTATTCCTTCTTGGATCATCGTTCTATAGTTTCTTAAAACATCCCTCACCTTTTTTCCCCCCTAAATTTTTGTAAAGAACCACTTCAACCTAAAACCTTAAGGTGTTAGGTAAGTGCCTTTTTAATGGTTTATATTATTCTCTGACACACCCTCTCACGCGAGAGCCCTTTGGGCTTGAAGCGTGGATATTACATAAGCTCATTTTTTTTTTTTTTTTTTACCTTATGCTTATTTAATTCCACAAATGGGGGCCGATGAGGGTCGAACTCGTGACTTTATGATCATTGAAGCTCTCATACCATGTAAAGAACCAATTCAACCCAAAAAGAATTGGTTCTTTACAATTTCATTTAGCAACCAGTGCTTTCATAAGAAAAATGGAGCCAGTCCTTTTACTAAGTAGGTTGACATGCTTGGAGAATAGCTTAACTCGTAAGGTTTGCCTATTTACTGTAAAAAAATTAACATATATCATAATTTCCCTATTTAATGTAGTATTTTTGGCCAATGCTGGATTTTTCTGAAGAAGTTCCCCACCTCAAATCTAAATAGTAATTTTTGGAAACATTTCTGAATTCGTATGCTCTGTGTATGTTTTCCTTGACAGAGTTAATTTTGGTGGTGGATAGGAATTCACTAAATCAACTGAGTTTAGCTTTCAACTTTAGCCATTAGTAGTTTCATGAAAAACATGAGGACAATAAATTTGTTAGAGAAATATAAAACTATTAATGTGACTTTCACCTAACAACTTAAGTTTTTAGGTTGAATCGGTTCTTGACATACTATTAGAGCCTCAGTAACTAAGTGGTCACGAGCTTGATCCTTACTTCCTCCTGTGCATTGTCTACCCTTCATGTCCAATGGACTCATGTGTGAGGTGGTATATTAGAGACATATAAAATCATTAATATGGCCTTCACATAACAACTTAAGCTTTTGTGTTGAATTGGTTCTTTATAAAATTAAAAGTTCACTCTGCGTCTTCTCTGTCAACATGGGTGGACTTCTATGAACATCTAGAATTTTGGTTTTATTCAGAGATATATTTTAATTCAGTTCTCTTTGCTATGTAGTTCATATGTAAATTTGGTATAACTTTTTACTTTCAATGCAGTTGGCGAGTCTCACTTTCAATGCCAGAAGGCACACCCTTGAAGCTACCTTATTGTTTGAAGCACACAGAAGAGTTCACTCTTGATCAGGTTGTGGGTGTGGTTTCTTGTTATTAATCTATTTAGCACTGTGCTATGAACTGGTTAGGCTTCTATTGTAATGGCAATGTTTCCTTGAACATAGGGTATTTGGGTCCAAATGCATATGCATAGCCTTCATATATAGGTCGCAAAGGAAAACGTCAGTAGTAGTCTTTGGTGATGTTTCAAATTTTTCATGAAGTGATGACTACTTACCAAAGTAGTCTATATCGAATTACTTTTTCTCAAGTGTATATATTGAATCACTGAGGCTTGATTGTAGGTTATATGATATATGTTTCTGATGGCTTAACTTAAACTTCATTTTGATACTATAAATTTTAATCATAGTAGTTAATTGCGCCGCAATAGCGCCGCGAGCCGCGCCGTATGGGGTTGCGGTGCCTGGCCGCAAGAAACCGTACTGCGCCGCGCCGGAGCTCAATGGTGGCCATTGCGATCGCATTTGCGGCCAAATCACGACCATATTGCTGTCATAAGACAAAATGTCAATTTTGTCCTAAATTTAATTGTGTAATAGAAATTTTTAAAGGGATTTTTAGTCTATCTACGTCTCTCTCTATCACTTCTATTATCTCTGCCTTTAAAAAATGTTCTTTTTTTCACTATTTCTATCATAAATCTATTCCGCTATTTCCGTAACCGCAACCTGCTATAGCGTTTTTCGGGGTTGGCCAGGGCCGCAACATGCCACAATCCGCATTTGATAACTTTGATTTTAATCATGAGATACTTTTACAATGCACTTTCCCCCTTGTTTACATTATTGGCAATGTCGAGTGCTTTTCTAGAGTGTCACTATGGTCGTAGTTGGTTCCAACCATATTTTCAAAACAATTTTTTAAAAAACTATTATCTTATAGTTTATATAGGTGAAAATGTGAAGTATCATAGCTTTAAGGGTGACAATGACCTCTGTTAATTTTTTTTTTTCTTCGTAAATAATTGGATGAATAACTGTTATGAACTTATTTTAAGGGCCATTTGTGCCTGAGGTTTCTGTTTAAGAAGTCAAATGAACTGATCCATTATTGGATTTAACTCCTTTGTATGTTCTTTTGGTTCTCATTTAATAGTCAAAGTAAGTGTTAAAAACTTCTGCAAATAAATTACTGTGGAGCACTTTATCTGGTTTGTATAATTTGAAGTAAACATATTGATGTTGGAATAGAAGATAAATTCTTGTGGATTTCATTTGTGAGTCATGAATGGTTGTTTCCAGTACACTCAACTTGCTACAATGAAGTATTAAATTTGGAACAGGCTGCAAATTATTTGGGTCAACAAACGACTTTTAAAATTAGTTTTTAAACGTTTCATTCATTTTTTTCATTACCGAATTTATTAGCATATTTGTAATATATGAAGTTTCTTGTGTTTGCTCTCTGCAGGGCTTAGAAGTTGAGGGAGAACTGCCTGAGAATATTACAAGTTATGATGGCGTGTTCTATAATTACTTCAGCATAGGTGCTTTATCCGTACATATGTAGTGTCATATAGGTGCTTAAAATGGATTATTGTGCGGTTGATATCATGTCCAAAGTTGAGAGTAATCATTTAGATTTGAGAATGAAGTTACTTTACATGAATATGCTATATGTGAATCGTATGAAATGTTATTTTAAAGCCAAATTTCTCTGTCTGTTACGATCCAGTTATAAGGTATGGGACTTGGAGTCCCACATTGAAACATAAGGTTATAGTGTGGGTTTTATATGGACTTTGGGCTCTCTTACCTTGCAAGCTAGCTTTTGAGGTGAGACTCTTTCAAGGTTCTTATCAATTGATATCAGAGCTTCCATTATGCCTCCTTGTTGCAATCGAGCGGCGCGACTGGTGACGCCGGCATTGCAGTGTTTGCCAAGAGCTAGTAAAAAATTATCGCAAAGCCTGGCTGCGTGGGCCCAGAGCTGCGGAGCGTGGTAGGATGTTACGATCTAGTTGCAAGGTATAGGACTTGGAGTCTCACATCAAAAACATATGGTTCTGGTGTGGGGTTTATATGAATTTTGGGCTCTCCTACCAGCTTTTGAGGCGAGGCTCTCCTGAGATTCGTATCAGCCTGCTATTCATGTATCGAGAGTACTTCAAGAATAAAGTTACTTAACATACACGCTGCACATATTTTTCATGTCTCAAGTTTGGCTTTTGGGCCTACATCTGTTTTGTGAAACAATGGCTTTAGAAGCTTAAGTAGGTTGTGACCATGCCATTGGGATTGCCTCACTGAAGTGAATTGAGAATGCCTTTATACCTGAGATTTTATGTTGTTTTGGTTATTTGTCTGTATGTGTGAGTGCATGTCATGAGTGTGTGTATAATAATGATACTTAAAATGCTATAAATTTCTTGGCTTAGGGTGTTCATTTAGAATGTAAACCTTTTCAGATACCTCAATTGAGTCTCTAATCTTTATTTGTGAGCATTCTTAGAACTTCCTGTTATATTTTACAGGAATGGATGCCCGAGTGGCTTATGGTTTCCATCATCTACGCGATGAAAAACCTTATCTTGCAAAGGGTCCAATTGCAAACAAGGTATTAATTCTCTGGATTTGTTGAATGTGTTTTATAAATTAACTTACCTTCTGTATTTTATTTTATTTATTTTATTTTTTTTGCTGTGCACTTTATTTGCCATGAACTTTGCTAACATACTCATAGCTACGATGTCTCCTACAAATGATATAATAGATTTTTTTTTTCCTGGTAATATGTATAATATATTTTAGTCAATAAAGGATTGTGGTCAATCTTTTTCCTTCTGATTGCAGATTATATACTCTGGTTACAGCTGCACTCAGGGCTGGTTCTTCACCCCTTGCTCAAGTGATCCAGGTCTAAGGTAAGATATACCAACTACAGCAGTTTTGTCCCTGTGATAAATCAGAAGAAACAAAGTTCCTGTGAAAATTTTGCTTCTTGGTTTTTACAATATGTGTAACTGAAATTGCTTTTAGTAAGAGAATGATTATTTCACACGTACAACAAGAATTGTCTCCTTTTCTTATTGTAAAAGAATCAGAAATATGAGTTGACAAAATGTCTATTACAGTCTCTTGTCTTTGGAAAGAAATATCTTTTACTGACACTGAGGAGTTTCAGATCATCTATTAACTTGACATGGTTTTCCCTTTTAGTGCAAGCTGAAAACTTAAAAATTTACAGTATTAAGCATGGAACTAGAAGGTGTGATTACTTATATTTTCTTTTAGTCCTATGATAATTCACCTTGGACCGGTAAATTAGTACGTCCTTGTAATCGAATATATAGGCAGTTAGGCACTTCAACTGCAGCAAATGCCACAACTTCTGGAACAAAATGGAGAAATTCACTCTTGACTTTGTAGCTTGTGCTTGTTATAGTACCATACTTCTCGGGAGCAGTTAGTGGCCGACCCCGAAAATGGTATAGCGGTGTAGCGGGTAGCGGTATTGCCACCGCGGTGAAGTATTAATTCCATATATACTAATAATCTAATACTACACAAATATAAATACTGAAACATAAGAAGTCACATAAAATCAAACACATAATTCCACAATCAATGTCAAATACAAGGAACATAAAGGAAGGATCCAAAATTAAATGCAAATGAACAATGAATTCCGCAAAATGAAATACATAATTCCACAGTCAATATCAAATAGCGGGTAGCGTCGCGTTGCACACCTGTACACGCCGCTACCTTCCGCTACCGGCCAGCGTCGAGTTGCAGTTGTAGCGTCCGGCCGCCACTACTGTAGCAATTTAGCGGCACTACAGGTCGCTACTGACAACCTAGTATAATACTAGATAATTGTAATTGAACAGAGCCATCCCTGTCTTCAAGTATAGTCAATTTGACCAAGATCTTCTGTATCCAACATGAGTCCTATGTTTGAGTTTGCGAGAAAGAAGTGTCTTTGCATTTGTGGTGATGTATGGCTTCTTTCTATGGATTTCAACATGGCTGGATGTTGATGTAAGTTATGTTCATTTGTGGATATTAGAGTTTGATGGGCCTTTGTGTCTTGTTATCAGCGCTACTTTGGAGGCCAAAGAAGAAAGCTCAAGAGAAAGTTGAGAATAATAAGCTAATGGTGAAAGAGGATGAAGGGGGAAGGTTAGTTATTAAGGAACTCACGTGGCAAGCTATGAATGGTGAGGGAATAGTGGGGGAAATGTGGAAAGAAGATTCAGGAAGGTTGTGATGATAGAACTTGGTTTATAGCAAAAAGGGAAATGGGATAAGGCATACATGAATTGAGCTAATTTTGGATAGGAATTTGGGGAACTCTAAGGTCTGGTTGTTGATCTTTGGGAGAGCTAAGAGTGTTTTCCTTGTTTCTTTGTCTGCATATTCGTCTTGGTTTCTGCATTTTATGTCTATTTTTTATTAAATTGTTTGTAGGAGCTTGCCTCCATATTTTACTTTAATATAATTTTTTGGTTTCATCAATTTGGTATCAGAGCATCTTCGATCTTGGAGGTGCTTCTGGTCATTACAAAAAAAAAAAAAAGGAAAACAGAATGAAGTGGATGGAAAAGTGCATTGAGCGTTTGTTTGGAAGACAAAATAGATGGAGTTGAAGACTCTATTCGTCAGCTTCAAGAAACCATTCGAAAGCTTTTAGACCGTGTCGATCCGCATGTTGCTAGATCAGGCACAAGGGAAACAGAAATAACAAAAGTAGAAACAGAGAGTCGAAGAAACAAAAAAAAAGAAAGAACAAGAGACATAAAGACAAGGGAAACAGAAATAACAAAAGTAGAAACAGAGAGTCGAAGAAACAAAAAAAAAGAAAGAACAAGAGACATAAAGACAAGCAGAAGACAAAGAAGAATAAGAAGAAGCGTGCGAAGAAGAAAGAACAGAGGTTGAAGAAGAACAATAACAAAAGGAAGAAGACTACACGTGAAACAATAGGTAGAAGAAAGAGAAATGATTTTGGGAAGAATGGGACGAAATGGGTATGGATTATTGGTGGATCTAGTCATTGTTCTCATTTAGCCCTACCCAATAAGGGTCTAAATTCTATTAAACCAGACAAGTGGGCCTGGAGCAAAGGGAGCCCAAACTCAAAATACTCTCCCACATGCCCAAACGCATAATAACACTCATCCAAACGTATCTCACATGAATTGGATAGGAACCCCATATCCTAGGTCGTCTTCGCAAGTGTCCTACAACAGAGGCGCACGTGGTGGCGTTGCTAATGGTGATCAAAGATCCACTTGCCTTCGACGAATAACCCAAGAAAAGCTCGATGATCGCCGGTGAAGGAACCTATGTTGCAGGTGTGTTGTTTTTTTCTCGAAGTATACGATGATTTAAGGAAGGGAAGGTGTTGGTGTGGTTCCAAGGGTGGGAGGCCCGCCATACCATTATCGCTTGGGGGCTGTTGGGTTTGGTTGTGCTATTAAGGTTCCATTTACAGATCTCGATTAGGGGCAAACAATTTGGGATGCTGTCTATTCCTCTTTGCCATACTGATGATGTAGTGATGGAAGCAACATTACTGAATGAGTTGCGAGGAAAAATTCGTGAAGACGTGAGGATGGGTTTTGTTGATGACTTAAGTTAGATGATAATTTTGGCCCTAAGAGCAGAAGAAAGGGAGGTTGTTTGGGGTCGAGCAGAATCAGTGGGTTGACGAATTCAAGGAGGAATAGGTCATCGTGGTGGGAATTACACCAGGACAGCCTTGACTTGTAATCAGGACAATGGGGAATGGGAAAGCAGGCCCAATTTGGCTAGTGAGGACTCTAAGGCATCCTATGTATATCTGGCCATTTATATGACTCATGAATTACCAATGTGGTCAAGATGCTTCAAACAATGAGACCCAAGTAGAAGTTTCTCTCACATTACCTGTCCTCTCTCTTCACCTTGAGGATAAGGTGAGTTTTGGAGGGAGAGTATTGATGGGCCTTTATGTCTTGTTATCAGTGTTATTTTGGGGGCCAAAGAAGAGAGCCCAAGAGGAAGTTGAGAATAATAAACTGATGCTGAAAGAGGTTGAAGGAGGAATGTTAGTTAGTTATTGGGGAAGTCATATGGCAAGCTATGAATGGTGAGGGAATAGTAGTGGAAACGTGGAAAGAAGATTTATGAAGTTTGTGATGATAGAAGGTGGTTGGTTATATAGCAGAAAAGGGAAATGGGATAAGACACGCACGAATTGAGCTGATTTTGGATATGAATTTGGGGAACTCTAAGATCTGGGTTGTTGATCTTAGGGGGAGCTAGGAGTGTTTTCTTTGTTTCTTTGTCTGCAGAATTGTCTCGGTTTCTGCATTTTAAGTCTATTTTTCCAGCAATTGCTGTATTAAATTGTTGGTAGGAGCTTGCCTTCATATTTTACTTTAATATAATTTTCTGGTTCATCAGAGTTGAACTTGTATTATGAATATCATTTATGTTGTTGAAACTCATTTCCAAGTGGCTGAAGAGATGGTTTCTTTGGCATTTAGCATGCAGTGTCATCTAAGGTATTATTGTAGGAAATTTTAATAGAGAAAATTATGTGGTTAATTCTAGAATGATGATGTTTGTAGCATTAGAGAAGATCAAATTTGCTTTGGGTATAATTGTTCATTTTCTTCTTTTAAGAGGATTTGAGACATAGTCACTGGGCTAGAAGTTTTCAGAATTCACTTTTGTTTTGCTGCTCAATTAGCAGAGATGTGCCACTTAATCTGAATTTTGATTTGACTTTCCTAATGGAAACATTCCCAGTCTCTTGCTATCTCCCTCTGCTTTTTACTTTTTCATTACATAGGTCCTCAGAAGTATGATTTTGCTTGCAATTGTTTTTGGTGCATTTTTTTCCTTAAGAAAACCTTTTGCTTTATGGGTATGTTCTGTGTTTTTGATAATGAAGGACTAGGACTGGCTTAAAAATCCTATATTCTTAAATATCATTTCTGGCATTAGGGGACTTAAAAACATTCTGCGGATGCATGTCAAAAAGATCAATTGCTCAGAGTGGGAACAGGTTGCAATTCCTAAAAGGTACATTTCTTATCCATATTATAATTGTTGGTGGTGCATATTATTTTATTTTAATTTTTGGTGGAGTTGGTGCATATTATTAACTGGTAAACAAATCAATGTTTTCAAAACAGGCATCATTACATTTTTACCATAGTGTAGTTGCAGGTCACTGTACATTTCGTCCATATTCATAGTTTTGACTTGTTTTATTTCTTGGAATTCTAAATTCTTTGAATTTACTTCCTAGTGAATGTAGTAGAGAATTGTGAAGTTTTTGGTTTGGTCAATTTTACATGATAAGGTTCTGTTATTTCGTTTCAGTGTAAGGGCAATAGTTGCTTTGAATCTTCATAGCTATGGAAGTGGAAGAAACCCATGGGGTAAACTGAAGCCAGAGTATTTGGAAAAGGTATTGCATACATGTTGCCTTAGATAATACCTCCTTGGAGTGATGATATCAAAGCATTCACTCATGTTCTTTTTTTGTTTTAATAATTTATAGGAATATGCCCCAATATTGTGTTACTGAATATAAGCTTACTTGATGAATTTGTAGTGTGTTTTCAAATTTAACTGCTTGACTGAGTAGGCTTTTTGATGTACTTCCAGAGAGGCTTTGTTGAAGCTGATGTCGCTGATGGGCTCTTGGAAATATTTGGTTTAAAGCAAGGATGGCATGCATCGTTTGTCATGGTTGAACTGATCTCTGCGAAGCACTTAGCTCAGGTACCACTTTTTATTGTTTGTGTTTTGGGGTGAATTGCTTACTTCTCAATTGCTGAAACTTTGAACTTAGTATTCATTCGCTTATTGGCTTACTGCTGGTGTATGAGAGGTTGGCACATTTTAAATAATTACTTAAAGTGTGCTACTTTCTGGTTGCTCCTGGCTTGTTGTATTTGAGAAATCTCATACTATTCTGCGTTTGTGTTGATTATCTTCATTTTATTTTGGACCTAACCATAAACTCTGCAATATGGCTTACATCTGTTACCGGACTTCCAAATTTATAACCTCATATTTTTGTTCACTTTCATTTTAAATTTGACATTATGAAAACCTTTTCTCCTTTCCGCTGACATACAGAGTGCATTCTGTTTTCTATTATATGGCATTTATTTACAAATCTGATTTTAGCCCACCTCTGTGGATCTGAATATTCTCCCTTTACAAATCTGATTATATGGCATTGTGAAATTTCTCTTTCTCAATGACCAGTCTTTCTGGTTTTTCTTAACTGTTGAGTTCTATTTGTATCTTTCAGGCAGCAGCTATTCGATTGGAAGCAAGAGGTGGAGAGTGGAAAAATGCCTATATGCAAATGGATGGAGAACCCTGGAAACAGCCATTGAGCAAGGACTTCTCAACATTCGTAGAAATAAAGAGGGAGCCTTTCCAGTCGCTTGTGATTAGCGGAGAGTAATTGTTATGGATTGTGCATGTAATCTTAGGTATTGGCTCTCCAGTACATGGAAAATTTGATATTGTAAAAATCTCCCTTTTATTGTTTTATTGTGAAAATATAGTTTATTGGAGTGTAATTCTTTGATGGTCTCCGTAGCTGGTATTCATGGAAGGCGTGTGTATTATATGTAATCTTGGGCATTTGTGCTCCATTATATTTATATGGAAAAATTATTGTAAAAAAATCTTCATTTATTTTGTTTAGATATTCTAGTTTTCATCATATTTGGAACGGGTAATATTACCAGCTATTGGGGAGTTGTCTGACTAATTTGTTGTTGCCACAGTTTGGACTCAGTTTTGGTACCTAGTCTCTGCTAATTATAAAAAGTAATATACTCTCCTTCGCGGAAGATGAATACAGAACAGTGATGAGATGAATGCATATGTTTTAGTACCACATGGATGGAAAGGGTGAAATAAGATGTGCAGGCTTAAAATGATATTTATGAGGCTTCAATAGGCTGGAATATATGAAGTAGTCTATTAGAATAGGTGCAGACAGAACAAATTCGACTACGTATTGTAGATTTCAATGATGAGCGAGACACATCACTCTGTGCTACTATAAAGTAGTCTATGACCTTGAACCTTGAAATAATGTGTTATTCGTTGTGTTTTGCAGTTTTCGATCTATCTAGTAACGGAAATTGAAGCGCGCAACCAAGTTTTTCATTTCATTCTCACCCACCCCCTAAAAATAATTATAATTTGGGACTTAGAGTAGAAGAGTATTAATTACTAGAGCAGTACCCGTGCGATGCACGGAGGAAAAAGATCAAAAAATTTGTCGGCATCTGTCGTCGCTTAATTGCTAAAAGAAAGAATCGTGTTAATATTTTGTGCTATTTAGGGAGGTGAAAAAGCTATAGAATTTTGTAAGTATCTACCACAAACAAAACTCTGCAATTAAAAAACACCAATTATTAATAGGCTTAACAATTTACGATGCCGAAAGTTGTGGTATTATTAATAGGCTTAACAATCACCTATGCAAAAAGCAGTGATATATTAATATAGCTGTTTGACTTTCAATTTTAAATTTTTTTCCCCCACCTATGAAGTTTAAATTTAAAATTTAGATTGTTTTTTATCAACTATAAATATATTTTTATAATTTCTAATACATTTTTTGTTTAATCTATAATTTTATATTAAATTCGAATTTATTATATATATCTTTTTCCCACGACAGAAATATTAAATGCTGAACTCTTTTCCCATCTATCAAGTTCAAAATTCAAATTGAAAAGTTTAAATTTTAAATAGTACATATTTTCTCACCCAATAGTAAGTATTATTAATAGACATAATAATTTTTCATATAAAAAGTAGTGAAAAATATCCATAAAAGGTTGTGTACTTTCTCCAAATAATAGCTTTTAGTTATTCATTCATGACATATTTTTTCCGTGTTAATTATACTCATTCAATAAAAAATTGAAAGTTTAATTTCTTTCTCACATACTAAATTAAAAAATTTATTTTTATAGTGATTAAATTTTTATGATCTATTTTTTACAGAATGATAGAGGTCATTTTAATTTTATTTAAATTTAAAATTTAAATTCTTTTGTATTAATTATACATATTTATATGACTTTTTCTCTTTTAATTTATGATTTTTATACGTTTTTTAAAATTGGTTATACATGTATATTTAAAATGTTCATCTTAAATAATTTTGTTATTTTGCAATATTTTTTTAAATTTTTTGTTTTTTTTATGCAGCATTGATAGGGCTAACAATTATCCATGCAAAAAATAGTGGAATATACAACAAAAGAAAAGTAAAGGTCTTTTTTACTCATAATATACAACAAAAGAAAAGTAGTGGGACATTAAGTGAGCTCTGTGCCACCAAAATTATTGTCCAAATGTCTTCCCACCAATACAAAGTTTAAAATTCAAAATTCAAAATTTAAATTCAAAATTTAAATTTAAATTTAAATGAAATTCGAAATTGAAAATAAATATTTCAGAAAACAATGAGTTATTATTAATTTGAAAATTCTAATGTAGAAAGCAGTGGGATATTAAATGAATTGTCTGCCACAAAAAATTGTTCACATAATTTTCTATTTTATTTATTTACAAATTTTGATTTTGTTTTATATTTATTTAATTTAAAATATTTGTGTTTTTTTACAAAATATTTTGGTTTTTTTAATGATTATTTTTTAACAAAATAGTTTGTTTTTTATGCAGCATTGATATGGTTAACAATTACCCATAAAGAAAGTAATGAGATAATAAATGAGCTGTCTGCCACCAATAATTCTTAAATATTTTCCCACCACTACAAATTTTAAAATTCAAAATTCAAATTCAAATGAAATTCGAAATTTAAAATAAATATTTCAGAAAGCAATGAGTTATTATTAATATGAAAATTCCAATGTAGAAAGCAGTAAGATATTAAATGAGTTATTATTATTTATTTACAAATTTCGATTTCATTTTATATTTATTTAATTTAAAATATTTGCGTTTTTTTACAAAATATTTTGTTTTTTAAATGATTATTTTTTAACAAAATAGTTTTTTTATGGAGCATTGATATGGTTAACAATTACCGATATAGAAAGTAATGAGATAATAAATGAGTTGTCTGCCACCAATAATTGTCCAAATGTTTTCCCACCACTACAAAGTTTAAAATTCAAAATTCAAAATAAAATGAAATTCAAAATTTAAAACAAATATTTCAGAAAGCAATGATTTATTATTAATTTGAAAACTTCAATGTAGAAAGCAGTGGGATATTAAATTAGTTGTTTGCCACGAAAAATTGTTCACATAATTTTCTATTGTATTTATTTACAAATTTTGATTTTATTTTATGTTTATTTATTTTAAATTATTTGCGTTTTATTAAAAACATTTTCGTTTTTCTAATAATTATTTTTTAACAAAATAAATTTTTTTATGCAGCATTGATATGGTTAACAATTATCCATGTTGAAAGTAATGAGATAATAAATGATATTAATACACTTGCTTGCCACTAATTAATGCTAAACTCTTCTCGCACTAACTATTTAGTTTAAATATTTTAAATTTTGAATTAAAATAAAATGTTTTTCATTCATCTGTGATTTTAAATTCTATATCTCGTATAAAAGCGTAATTAATGTTGAACTCTTTTCTTTCGGTCTTTTGGCTTTTCGATAAATATGAAAAAAAAACATTAAATGATTTTTAAAATGAGGATTAACAATTTCAATGTAGAAAATAGTAGAAATTTAATACAGTTGTCTCCCACTAAAAGATGTTAAATTCTTTTCCCACCTATATCAACTTCAAATTTTAAATTGATAAAAGAAGTGGGATATTAATGCATATGTCAGCCACTAATTAATGCTTAACTATTTTCTCTGGGTCTTTTGATTTTTCGATAAATATGGAAAAAGCATTAAATATTTTTAAAAATGAGAGTTAACAATTCCCGTTTAGAAAATAGTAAAATTTTTCAAAATTTAAAAAAGAAGTGGGATACTAATGCACATGTCTGCCACTAATTAATGTTGAACTATTTTCTTTGGGTCTTTTTCTTTTTAGATAAATATGGTAAAAAAGTATTCAATATTTTTTAAAATGAGGGTTAACAATTCCTATGTAAAAAATAGTGAAAATTTAATATAGTTGTCTCCTACTAAAAGATGTTAAATTCTTTTTTCACCTATTTCAACTTCAAATTTCGAAATTTAAAAAAGAAGTGGGATTTATATCGAACATGATTATTTTGAAATTTAATACAGACTTTTGTTAAATTTTAACTCCGTTGATTATATCGAACATGAGAGGCATCAATTGTAGACATGACTGTTTTCTTTTTCAGCAAAACGAACCAAATGTTTTCTTTGCCTTCCGTCGATTGAACTTCATGTATAACTATTGGGTTTTTTTTTATGAATTATTAATCATAACATGTATAAGAATTAACCCTATTTAATTCGTGTACATTTAAGTAAAATGCCTTGTACTCCTAATTTCTGGTGAATTCTCGTCTTGAATCCACTTAAAGTTTTTAATGAAAATTGAGATTAATTTATTATAATAATATATTATTATTTACACATAACTTGAAAGGAGTTATATTATTTGTATCGTTTCATCTAAACTCAAAAAATAAATAAAATGTGCTACATTTAAGCAATACCCAAAACATGAATCATCAAATTACAATATCATTTATTCCCGAAACAACATTGCTATAGAGAGCATTGAAGATGAGATCTATGTGCATCATTATCCGGTACCATAACTCGAAGATCTGGAGAGGAAGAATGGCGACGGGGAAAAGGACCAGAGGGAGAGGGAAGAGAGGGAGTTCAACGATGTCGTCGAACTTGGGGGTTCAACTCTCATGCAATATATCTTCTATTAGGGGTTCAACCCTACAAAAAAGATTCCATAAAAAATTTGTCATCAGTAACCACACACAAAGAATTTCACAAACCCTATTGAACTGATGCAACCAAGGAGAGCAAGAAAGCGTGAGAAGAAGAAACCTTGAAATGCTTGTGGAGACGCGAATGAGAAGCTTCGAGATCCTTGAGGATTTCAGAGTGAGAGCGATCGATCCGGCGCTTACGATTCCAAGATGTTGTTCGAAGCCCTATGATTGCAAGGTGGAGAAGAGCTGTTTGCCAGAGCGTTAGTTAGAACAATATTAGAAGACGAAGAAGATAAAAAGACAGAGAATGGAAAAAATATGTGCACGATTAGCACAGGAAAATATCCAGAAACATATCTTATTTATACACAAAATAATTTCGTAAATTAAACTTAATTTTGCGTATTAAAGATTTGAAAAAAAAATTATTGCAAAAAAACCTATCAGTTTCCACTAAGGCATAACTCTGAAAAACTTTTCAACTCCCAATAAGATTCAATAATTTAAAAAACTTTTCAGCTCCCAATAAGATTCAATAAATTGTTGCAGCTTCCAACTTTCGCAGCTTCCAATAAAGAGATAGTGGAAATCTAATTATGTGTGTCAAAAATTATTTTTTAATCGGTTTTCAATTTATTTTTTTAAAATTATAAGCCTAAAAAACAATTTAAAAAGTTACTATAACAGGAAACATTTCAAATTCCTTTAAGTGTGAACACAAACCTCAGATTCAAGGAGAATGCGACACATCATCAAAGTTTCCAATAAACGGTTTTACTTTAGAATAATATAGATAGGTATAGAATGTTCATCATTGCTGAATTGCAAATAA